ATGTGCCAAAGTAAGGACAGAGATGGGTGAGACTAAGTGCCTTCTTCAATTTTGTGTCCTAGTTGCCCACTTGCTCAGGCAGCGCATCTAAAGATAAAGATATAGTCCTTTTCTTCAGGACTCACAGTCCAGTGGGGGGCATCTAAATGAATCAGTTCATCACACTGCAAATGAAGCCATGCTATACATTTTTTCCTTTCTTTATATCTGACTACACAGTGACCTCAAAACATGGAAAAAGCAATGTTTGGATAGTATTTCCTTTAAGATAACAGATATTTTGCTGAAAACAATATTCAGATATTCTCAGAATATGCCTAGGCAAGAGTATTTTAAAATACTGTTTAATACTCATAAAGTAGAAGAATTCACCTTTTTTGTGTTAATATAAATAAATGAAAACAATCAACAAAGAAATATCAGAGTTGAACCAAACCTTTGAACAAATGGACTTAATAGATATGGACAAACTGTTCCCCCAACAACGAATATACATTCTTTTCAGCTGCATATGATTCTTTCTCCAGAATAGACCACATACAAGTGAATAAAGCAACCCTAGGCAAATGGAAAAGAATCATAATTTTACCATGCATATTACCAGATCACAGTGCAATGAAACTAGAATTCAGTAGCAAAAGAAACCACAGAAACTGTGCAAAACCATGGAAATTGAACAACACACTCTTGAATAATCAATGGATCACAGCAGAAATTAAGGAAGAAACAAGACAGTTCCTAGAATTAAATGATAATACCAGTATGACATACCAGAACTTATGGGACACAATGAAAGCAGTCCTAGGAGGGAAGTTAATAGGGGTAAATGGCCACATCAGAAAAACAGCATGAACCCAAATAAATAACCTAATAATGAACTGCAAAGTCTTAGAAAAACAAGAACAGTCCAAACCAGAGCTTGTGTAAGGAAAGAGATTATAAAAATTAGAGCATAAATTAATGAAATGGAGACTTAAAAAAAATCAGTGAATTGAAGAGTTAGTTCTTTAAGAGAATAAATAAAATAGACAAACTCTTAGCCAGTCTTACCAAAAAAAAAAAAGGAAAGAAGAGACAAATTTTTATGCAGTAAGAAATAAAAATGGTGATATCACAGTGAACACCACCAAAAACCAAAAAAAAATTACCAACTTCTTCACAAACACAAATACCAAACAATTGGAGAGCTCAAAAGAAATGGAGAGATTCCTAGATACATATGAATTGCCAAAACTGAAACAAGAAGACTTAAAAATCTTGAACAGTGCAATAAGAGGCAATGAAATTGAAACAGTAATAAAAAGCCTACCAAGAAACCCCAGGACCTAATGGATTCATAGCCAAATTCTACAAGAATTTCAGCAAAGATGTACTACCAATATTTCTCAAACTGTTTAATGAAATTGAGAGAGACAGAGTACTTCCAAAATTATTCTCAGAAACTAACATTATCTTGATCCCAAAAGTAGACAAGGATCCAACCAAAAAAGAAAACTATAGGCCAATTTTTCTAACAAACATAGATGCAAAAATCCTTAACAAGATACTAGCAAACAGAATGTGACAAATTATCAAAAAGATCATACACTTCATCCCAGGGATGCAGGGATGATCCAACATATACAAATCAATAAATGTAATTCACTACTGTTAGGGCTTGTATCTAGATGTTCTCCCAAAGCCTCATGTACTCATAAATGTGGCTTTTCAGAGCTTAGGGCATGTAATACTGGGATTACAGGTGAATGGTACTAAGTTACTCCACTGATTGTAGTTACCATAGTTCTAAGGGTGGTTGAATGGATTTATTGATGATGGAAGCCCCACCATGTGTGGGTAGCACCACTCAAAAGTCTAGTAGCCTGGATGGAATAAAAGGGAAAGGTGGGCTTGCTGCTGCTAACGCCACTACTGCTGCTAATGCTGCCACTGCCACCACCACCACCACCACCTCCTGCCCTCTCTGCCATGGACTGTTTCTCCTCAGCCATTCCCATCTGCCATGCCATTCTGTCTTGGAGCCAGCCAGCTGTGGAATGAAACTCTCAAATTGTGAGCTGAAATAAACCTTTCCTCCTTCAACTTGTGGGTCCTCGGTATTTTGTCTCAGGAATGAAAAAGTAACTAGGACAACCACATGAACAGAAGCAAGAACAAAAACCACATGATCATCTCTATAGCTGCAGAAAAAGCCTTTGACAAAATCCAGTACCTATCATGATAAAACCCCTGAAGAAAACAGGCATAGAAGGTCTGTATCTCAACATGACAAAAACCATTTATGACCAACCTACTGCCAACATCATATTAAATGGGAAAAAGCTGAATGCTTGAAACATTAGCCAGAAAAATCAGATGAGAAAGAAATAAAAGTGATACAGTCAAAATATCTTTTTTTTGTTGGCGGGGGGGGGGCAGTTTAACCAGGGGTAGAACTCAGGACCTTGCGCTTGCAGGGCAGGTGGCATAACCACTGAGTTAAATCCCCACCCCAAAATATCATTATTTCCAGAGGACATGATCCTTTACTTACAAGACCCAAAAAATTCCACCAAAAGACCCCTAGAATTGATAATCAAATTCAGCAGTATACCAGAATACAAAATAAACATACAAAAATCAATAGCATTCCATACACTAATAATGAACTCACTAAAAAAGCAATTAGAAAAATAATGCCATTCACAGTTGCATCAAAAAATTAAATACTTAGGTAGTAATCTAATTTAGGTAGTGAAAGATCTCTACAATGAAATTACACAAACTAAAAAAGAAAATCGAGGAAGACATCATAAAAAGGAAAAATACCCCCCATTTCTAGTTATCCCTGACATAATCAAAATGGTTACACTACCAAAACTGATGCACAAATTTAATACAATCCCAAACAAAATGCCAGTTGTCATTTCTTACAACAATCCTAAAATTTAAATGGAATCAGAAGAGTCCCAGAAGAGCAAAAGCAATGCTAGGTAACAAACGCAAAGCAGGTGGCATCATAATTCCAGACTTGAAGTTATACTATAAAGCTATAGTGATTAAAACAGCATGGTACTAATACAAGAAAAGCATGTGGATCAGTGGAACAGAATAAAAGCAGAAACAACCATAAGCAGATATAGCTATTTGATCTTTGACAAAGGACCCCGAAGCACACACTGAAGGAAAGATAGCCTCTTTAATAAATGGTGCTGGGAAAATTGGATATCCATGTGCAGAAGATTGAATCTAGATCCATATACCTCACTGTGTACTAAACTGAAATCAAAATGAATCAAAGAGCTACCTATTAAAGTAGAAACACTTAATTGGCTGTAAGATAAAAAAGGTACAACTCTTGAAGACATAGCTGTAGGCAGGTCCTTTCTGAACAGACCCCCAGTAGCATAAGAAATACTACCAAGAATCAACATGTGGGATCATACAAAATTTAAAATCTGCACAGTAAAGGAAACCACCAACAGAATGAAGATACAATCTACAGAATGGGACAAAATTTTTGCTAGCTATTCCTCACATAGAAGACTAACATCAAGAATATATAAAGAAATCAAAAACATTAGATCCCCCCCAAAATAAAAGACCCAATCTAAGACTGGGCAACAAAATGAATAAATACCTCTCAAAAGAAGTACAAATGACCAACAAATACATGAAAAAATGCTCATCATTGCTGGCCCTTAGAGAAATGCAAATTAAAACTCTACTGAGTTAACATCTTACCTTAGAAACAATGACTATCATTAAAAAATCTAAAAATAACATATGCTGTGAGGATGTAGGGAAAAAGGAACTCTATACATTGTAAACTAGTACAACCACTATAGAAATCAGTCCATATTCCTCAAAAAACTAAAACTGAAATTCCATTTGGCCCTGCTATTCTCCTCCTAGGTATCTTCCCAAAAGCATTAAAATCATATTACAGGGATACATACATACCCTTGTTTGTAGCAGCATGATTTATAATAGCTAGATCTTGGAAACAATGTATGTGTCCATCGACAGATGAATGGATAAGGAAAATGTGGTATTTATATACAGTGGAGTACTACACTGCCCCAAGACAAACTGGAGGCATTCATAGGTAAGTGGGTGGAACTTGAGAACATAATATCATGTGAAACAAGTCATACAAGCTCAAATATTGCATGATTTCTCTTATATATTAACACATATACATACATACATACATATATTTACACACAAAGAGCAAAATAGAAAAGAGATAAATAGGTAGAGAGAAATTCAAATCCTCCCCCAAATGACAGTCTGTTGTTTTAAAAACATTTCAATATATATATGCTAATTTGTTTCATTTGCACTAAAAGTTTATCTAAGTTCATTGAAAAGAAAGTTCGTATTATCCGTTTCTTTTTTGTAAGAATCTTTTGGATTTATATCTTGTACTGAGCAACTACTTTGATGACAATGATACACAATGTAATAACTTGTTATTCTCTTATTATTTGGTTATAAAAATGGTTTTTTTCCTAAAATGAAAAATGCAGAAGTAGAAATATATAGATCGTAAGTAAACTTATTATCTTACTACTTTGAAAGTGGTTTCTTAAAATTGTAGTCAGCCAAGTCATTATTTTGGACAGGGAGAGCTAATTTCTCCTCTACTTTCTCCCTTAGCATTTGGGGAGTCACAGTGCAAAATTCCTTTGTGAGGGAGACCGGACACTTGAGTTCACCTTTAATGATTTTAGTCCTGCAGATCAACGCCTAAGAAAACATGATACTTTGCCCTGCTGACTTTTTATCTCTCTAATAAAGTCTGTTATTGATTATGGAGGTACCCCTGGCCTGTTCAAACCATAGGTGCCCATTGCCTGGTATTAGAAAGGGCCACTCATACGAAGATGTTTCTTACTTCAGAAGCTTCTGCTGTATATACCCATCCATTTCTAGTCAGCAGGCTTTTGAGATATAAATAATTTAGAACCAAGTTTCTGTTACATTTTTAAATATTCTTAATTTCTTCTTAATTACAGAGCAAAGAAATTGCATTCCAACTTCATGAGGATTTAATGAAGGTTCTTAATGAGCTTTACACGGTAAGCACATAATCTTTCTTCTTTTGTGTGATATTTTGGTTCCCATCTCAGGTTTGTGGAAACACTACTTGTCTTTAGCTTTCCTTCGCTATGGCAAAACACCTGAGAAAATCAACTTGAAGGAGCAGAAGTCTATTTGGGTTTCAGTTCCGACTGACCTTGTTGACCTTGGGCTTCTGAGGCAAAAAGAACGTCATGGCCAGGAGCAGTGTGCATCTTAGCTGCATACTTCACAGTGGTCAGGGAACAAGACAGAGAGCTGGATTTTATACAGAGCTCCTCTCCTGAAACTCATGATACTAGGAATCCATAAGTAGATTAATCCTATCAGGAAGCTAGCACCCTCATAATCCAGTCACCTTTCAAATGCCCCACTTCTAAACCTCGCACACTGGGGACCACGCTTTCCACACATGAGCTGTTGGGGAGCATTTAAGAACCAAACATTAATAATCCTCAATTTAGAATTTGCCTCCAAGCCACAGCATGAATGGATAAAATATCTGGTTTATCTGGTTGAAATATGCAACCAATTAGATGAATGTATACTACTATATTTCCTTGCTACCCCCTCCTCATTTGGAGAGACTTTTCTTTTAAGACAGGGTCTCGCTTTATAGTTCAGTCTGGCCCTGAACACACTAAGTAGCCTAGGCTAGCCTTGAACTCATGGCAGTCCTCCTGCCTCTGACTCCCAAGTGCTGGGATTACAGGAGTGCACCACCACACCTGGCTAGAGAGACCTTTTTGTTTTCTTTTTTTTTTTTTTTTTTTTTTTGGTACCGGGGATCGAACTTGGGACCTTGCACTTTCGAGGCAGGCACCGGAACCACTGAGCTAAATCCCCAGCCTGGAGAGACCTTTTTGAAGTGTGTGTATAGGGGGTTGATATAAGCATATTTTAACAAACTGTAGTAAAGATATATGTTTTTAACTGGTTAGATCGTATGGGATCTTTTTGTATGTTCAATTCCAAAATATTTTGTTTTCAGCTGTTGCCATTCTGGGACTTGACAATGTGTAGTTTCTTCATTTTGGATATTTTCATTTCTTTCTCTCTCTCTCTCTCTCTCTCTCTGTCTGTCTCTCTCTCTCTCTCTCTGGCCATTTTAGTTCAATTGCTTAGCTAATGATGTGTTACATTAAAATTTCACTTTTGTGATCTATCTTTTCTTCCTTCCAATAATTTTTTTGAAACTTACATTTTACTTAGAGTATTGCTTGTGATCATAAGAAATTAAATAGTTTTAAACTCCTTTATTTAAAAAGAGCCAATACCAGTGATATTTCAAGTTGAAATAAGTAATATGCCATGTAATTTTTTATATTTAATGATCATATTTTAAATAAAAATTCATTTTTGAAGTTTTTGAGCAGTTTTTATTTCAAAAGAGAATAAAATAACACAATGAGAAATGAATATTATTAATTTGTACTAATGATAAGTAATTACGTTTTCATTATGGAAGCTTATTTGAATTTTTACTTAAAGGAAAATTAAACCCAGAACTTACTATTAAAATATGATTCATGATTTACAAATTCCATTTGTTCCTTTAAAAGCTATATGTGTACAATATAATTTGGTGAATTACATCTTTAATGCTCTATTGACACTTGTTAGTTAAAATAAGCTGTAAATTAAACTTTTTAAAAGTGAATGACATTTCTATAAAATGAGCTTTCTAATTTTTTGTATATATATGATAATTTTTTCTGACATATTTGCTGCAGCTGTACTTATGAATTGAATTGACAGTTTCTATGGGTTAGTTTCCCCTCAGAAACTTTTCATTTTACACACAACCTACATGTTATAAGGTATATGAATATACCGAATACCTAACTCTAATGAAGTTGAGTTTTATATTATAAGGGCTGATTACTTACCTATGCTTCATGTGATTTGTTAATTTCTGATAACCCAAGATATCAACCATTTATAGAAGCCTTGTAATTTAAAAGTTAATTGAGCATTGTGTCTCTCAGACTTCTAAACAAGATCAGGTAGAAATTCTGTGTCCTCTTTTATTGAACTATTTTAAACAAAGTCTTCTTGATACTTTCCTGTGGTTCCCTTGACTTGGGCATTGTTTTGCCTAAAATATAAACCTATCCCTAATGCTTTAAAAAAAACAAATCTTCTGGCTGTTGGAGCATCGTGGACAGAAACCTGTTGATTAAGGTCTGAAACTAGGTGTGCTATCAGAATAGCAGCAGCCAAGGTAAACTTGATCTTCAGATACAAGAGAAGTCAGGAGAATGGCATTAGATTTGTATCTTGGTGAAGGCTATGTATAGTGACATTTCTCCTAGATACATCCTATTAACTGTATTTAGACATTTAGCAGATTCTGTGCAGTTAGATTAAGTCAGCTGACACATTCTCAAAACTCTCATCAACTTCAGTCTAAAAGCCTAAAGGAGCTGGAATCTGGAAAAGGCTACCAGAGTTTGAGTGACCCTGTCAGTCTTTTAACCTCTCAGAATCACTGATGGAATTAAAGAATAGAGGAGACAGGCAATGAGGTTTTAATTATGTCATCTGTAGATCGCTTTAAACTCCTAAGGAAAAAAAATTTTTATTTTAACCAGAAAGCATGCTCAGCCCAGTCCAGAGGTCATAGTCCATAAGGAAGGGACTTCTGATCCAACTTTCTGCTCCTGCCCCCCTCATTCACGAATGCAAATATACTTTTGTTGCTCTAAAAAGAGATGGCATTTGGTCACTTCTTACATTCATATTCTGTCTTGTTCAGATGAAATCTATGCATCATACATACTCAGTTTATAGCTGGAAGTGTAGCTCAGTGGCAGAGCACTTGCCTAGCATGTGCAAGATCATGGGTTCAATCCCCAGCACCAAGAGCAAACCAGACCATGTCCAGTTTACTCTAGAAAAAAGTAAAGATGAAGTGTGTTTGAACAGTGAACTAAGAGTTGAGGAAGTGTGACTTAGGACAGTGATGGAGAACCTTTTAGAGCTTTCAGTGATACAAATAGCCCACTGCGGCATGCAGGTTCACTGCCACTGGCTTAGGAGAATAGTTTATGTTCCTTATGCAACCACTGACTCGTATTTTGGTTATAAAAATACAGTCCTCTGATTGCATTGTACATAGAGTTTTGTACAATACATAGAGTGCAATAAATAGTGTGATAATAGAATAATGATTGGTAAAGTAGCAGACATAAATTAGATAACCTCAGATAATTGAGAATGCTACTTAATTGCTTTCTCAGACTCACTCAGTCTTACTAGTTGAAATTCCTTGGGAGTTGAAGGTGAACATTTCAGAAGTATATTAACTTCTTTATACCAGTGAAATATTTTGTTAAGTTACACTCAACCTTATCAATAGGTGAGAGTCTGATGGATAGACCTCAAAAGTAGGTCATCCTAAATGTAGTTTCCACAGAAATTGTTGATATTCCTAACATTCCATCAGAAGGCTTTGTCCCAATAAGATACAAATGCCCAGGAAGATGAATAGAAAGAAACACCTTATAGTTACCTATCCTTAGAGTGAACTGAATCTGATCAGTCCAGGTTGTATGGATGATGTGATAGGCATGGTATGATGACTTGACAGGTAGATGCTATGATAGAGTATAAGATATAAAATTGATAGGGCAGGAAGCCCTGGACTTCTAAGCCAGAGAGGATGGTGGCATCAGAGTGGGCATCTGAAAAGGAAGAGGAAGGCTTTAGCTCCCCTTCTGTCTTTTTGCCCAATTTTGACTTTATGTGCAAAAACAAGGCCTCAGAATGGTTTCAAGCCTCCATTTAAATATTTAGAACACCACGAGGGACAGCTTGCAGTCAAGATTAGTTTGACCATGAATTACAGAAGTGCTCAAAATAATGGCATGAATAAGATAAGAGTTGATATTCTTTCACACATAAGAGAAGTCCAAAAAATGACAGACCAGTGATGGTATATAGATTATATAAATCCCTTGAAGAATCAGGCTCCTCCCCATCTACTGTTCAGAGAAACCCATTTGCAACATTTGTCCTTGTAGTTCCAGGTAGTTGTAAAGCTTCAGCCATTACCTCTGCATTCCTAGAAACAGAATGGAGAAAGGGAAGAAGGGCAAGCCCCCTTGCCTTTCAAAGAGACTTGATGTAAATCTTACATTACACTTTCAAACACATTCATTGGCCCAAACTTACACCGTGACCCCAGAAGGCTGCAAAGAGGTCTGGAAATGAGTCTTTTAGTTAGCAAGCTCACTGCTAACCATTTTTTAAAATGTAGATTCTGTTAATTTGAAAGAGGAGTTGTTTATATGTAACTAGCCATCGTTGCTGGAGGAGCTAACTTTTAAGTTGCATGCTTGTTATATATCTGCTAGTCACTGTGCTTAGTACATTTCCTACATTATCTCAAGTAATACAGTATCACCATGAGGAGATTGCTGTCATTATCCTCATCCTATAACCACAAAAACCTCAAAGCCGCACAGCTTATAAAGAGGCTTACCCAAGGCTGCACAGCTTATAGAAAAGTGAGATCTCAGGGCTAGTTGTGGCTCCAGAGCCCATTTCCTTTGTCATCTTATCTCTCTTGCACTGGTTTTTGGGAGACATTTCCCAAGTCAGACCTCTAAATGTTAATGCTACCCCTACAACACAGAGAAATTAAGCATCTTATCACCTGCTCATTTATATTTTCGAGAATCAATGGCATTAATGTTGCTTTCACAAAAATATAAGTGAAAAATTGAGCATGTGGCTTGATGGCAACCTGTACTACTAAGAAATGTTAATTTAAGTATCTAACAGATGGGCTTGTTGGGCTAGAAAGTAAAAGGGTAAACCAAGATCTGCAGACTCCCTTTCTGAGTCTAATCTGCTCATTCATTTCCTTTTGAATTGAACATTTGAAAGAGAGCTAAAGGGTAGAATTAGCAAGTTTGAGAGTAGGGTTAAGAAACCAGGGAAAGTGTTATGCTGTAATGAAACAAAAATGACTAGACTGGCAGTCAGTGAACTT